CTACTTAGAGCTTGTCATTGTTTAGTGCTTTGGTCTGCGTGCAACGTGTGAATATGAATAGTCAATACCTTAGGCACTTTATCGATACCACAGTCCGCATTATTAATATTGATTGGGGCCTTACCGCAGGGGCCGGGCTTGGGATCTGGGACAACGGTATATAGGATTTTAGCCATTTAGGCTTTAGTTGGACTTTTTTCAAAATACGTATAAATACAATCTATACTAGCATTATACGTTTTACCATTACAATACACATATTTTAACATTTTTTTTGAGAAAAAACTTAAATGGGTAATTTATATGTGGAATATACGTTTAAGCGTATTATACGTGTATTATACACGAATTAACTAACAAAGGCCGATACCACAGTTCTCTTTAAGGCTCTGTGTGGTTTCTCTATTAACGGTTGGTGAGAAAAACGACAAATAATATATCTGTCTTTGTTGACTTCCAACCCTGAGCTCTTTTCAAATACTGACATCGCCTCAACAGTCACCTCCAACTGACTCATGGTTGCTTTGCCGAATAACATAAGATAAACGACAAATAATATATTGGAGATTCATGTGCCTCTTCTGCAAATTTTGATAGGTTTCCACTTGTTGCTTTTCACCTCCATAGCGATGAAGTGAGACACTCTTTCCATGCGAGGACGAAGAGATAATGTGCCAAAGGGTCTCCCTGGTGGATTCATCTTTTTGGGAGAAAACCTTGTAACACTTCTCCATTCCATAAAATGTTAATTTATGTGTCTCACAAGGACTGTAGGACCAAGTCAATAAAACTCTGAGGAAACCCAAAATAGGTCAAAGTATCTTCCATAAATCCCCATGAAATGCTATCACATAACTTCTTCAAGTCAAGTTTCAAGATCATGCCTCCGGCTTATCCCTTCATATGTTCCAATGTATGGATAATCTCCTACACGAGAACAATGTTGTCGATAATGCTTTCCCTGGGGAGGAAGTTGCTTTGGAAGGCATCCATGGCGGTTGAGCCGGGTTCAAGGATTGTGTAAAGGAGCCTTCAAAGTTGAGCTTTCCTCTACCAGTCCGGAAGTTGCAGCAACTATCGAGCTTTCCATACTCTGCGTGGGACATCGAAACTGCCTCAAACCTGCGATGTGTGGATGTATGTGTATGGGGGTTTACTAGGTAGGTGTTAAAGAGCACCGGGTGGTGGTCTGAGTGCATGTGTGGAAGGATCGAGGCCTTTGTTACCGGGGGTTTACTAGGGCATGTCCGATTAAAATGAATGATCAGCCAAAACAGGAGTTAGAAAAAATGATCTCAACAATATAAGTAAATACTATCTTTGTCCTACAAATTATTCTCACTTACTATTTTGAGATTTCTAAAAAATATTGTCATCTCTCTTTATGAACACATTTATGTGGCTAACATCCTTTAATTGTTTTCTTACTCAGTCATAACCATATATTTTTGAGTTTATTCCAACTTTTTAGTAAGCGTGTCAAGTCCAATTAGTAAGATTTTTTGGAAAGGAGGGATTAAGTAATATGAACGTAGGAGTTTGATTTAAACAATGTTTTATGAACTAGACATGTAAACAAATATGTAAAATGAAAGCATCACTTGGCTAAGAGTTTCTATTTCCAGTCTTCTATTTGATATCTGGTCTTGCACCAATTTGAGCTGAAGAATTCATTTCTATACTCCATGATGCTAATTTCTTTGACGATTTCTTCCACATCATTGAGAAGGGTGGCAAGTCTTTGTTTATTACTCACAGAAGGAATCGATTATGGATTAAGCTCTTTTTGTCAGGGATGATGAAATCACTTACATTGTTGAAAGAAGTTGAAGTCAAACAGTCGCCTCTGCTACTTGAACATTGTCTAATAAAAAATACAAATTTTGAGTGGGATCTTGTCACCTTGGATAGAGATCTCCCTCCTAATGAACTTTCTATGTATGGAACCCTATTACAACTTGATGTTGAACAACATGACATTTGTGACCAAACTATGGTGTTGAGTTCTATTGAGGATTTTGAAACTGACTACTCGTTAACACAAATTAAGGATTTCTTTCAAATCACTATGATTTAAGGGGTGGACTCACTTTCTCAATTTTTAATCAAAGAGTTTGGAAGAATCTTCTTTTCTGTAAACACGTTGATGAATAGAGCACTACTGATTGTACACCCACATAAACTCTAAGGAATGTTGCTTCATGTAGCCGCCATGAGGGACCCCTCCTATTAAAAGAGGGGAAACTACTAGATGTACAATTCAGAGATCACTTGTTCAATGGATGCTAGCTTATACAAGTTATCAACACTCTGAAGGTTTTGATTGTGAGGAAACTTATAGTGATTCGTACTTTTCACATCCACAGATTAAATACCTTGGTCATGCTTCAGAAAATGAAAAAGAGTTCCTATCTCGACAGTATAAGACTTATGGGAATCTGATTGGAAATCGAGAAATGTGTCACAAGAGAAAACTGTTTATCTACAAAGAATTTTAAACACTAATATCAGAATGTACATGAAGAGTAATCTATGACCCCATCATATGAGGACCAGATCCCAAACTCACGAGGAACTTGACGAGATGGTTTAATATTGAGGGAGTTTCTATTGAACTGTGGGTTGGATGATTTACTTTCTTGTTATTTTTTTTATTTCTTTTTCCTTGCCTCGTATGTGTACTTTCGTTTTCATTAATAAAATATCTTTTCCCAAAAATGAATTTGTAAAATGAATTTTATTGGCATAATTTGAATGCAAAGGAAGATCGAATTAGCGAAGTCGGTTTAGAGCCCGTTTAGTAGCTTCAAATTTTAGCTTACCAGACTCATCAATCAATTTTTTTTACCGAACACGTCATTTTTGATTCCGCACGCTGACTTGTGTAATAATTAAAACAAACAAGAGTTAAATTATTTTTTGGTTGAATTGACTAAAATTAATTTACACAAACATTTTATCTATTTTTAAATATAAATCTTTATTTATTTTATTAATAAGTAAGATATATTTTGAATATAATTTTGCACAATTCAACATATTCAAACAAGAGATTTTTCCTTGAATGTTACTAAATTCAAGTCAATTTCAAAAAATGTGAGTACTTTTAAATATTGACAAAAATGTGATTAACAAGGTCATATATTTGGAAAAACAGACTGTCACTGCAAAAATGTGATGTCACTAATATTTGTCACTGCTAGATTTTTCACACCGACAGTTACACGGCCTCCGGTGACACCACCACAGTTACACGACGTCTGATGACACCGCCACACTGACATGGCCTCCGATGACACTGCTAAAGTGACACAACCTCCGGTTACACCGCCATAGTTACACGCCGACCCCGCCTGATTACATTGAGACCCCCACATTGACTCCGGCCACGACCTGTCACCTCCGTTCACCACCAGCCACCAGACCCCTCCCACCTCCACCCACTGCAAGCGACCACCACTTCCCACCACTGCAGGTAACCTGCACCGCCACTCTCCGGCGGGCAGCCTCACCAGCCCCCACCACTGTCACCCCCGCTGCCCCGCACTCACCCCCACACCCGGCAACCGCGCCACCGCCCTAAACAGTGACCCCCAACCCCTCCCCCAACCCCTGTAAATCGCTACCCAACACGCCCAGCCCAGCAACCGCAACATTCCACCACGTCGCCACTGCCGGCCGCCAGACTTCCTCCGGTAACTCACTTTATCGCAATATCAGTTCTAAAACCCTAACCGTGCCATCTTCGTTGCAATCGAAGCAATTGCAGAGGAGGAGCTCTAGATCTTGGGTGAGTTAGTGTAGACTAAGAAAGGAGAGGAAGAAGAGGTATGCCAGCAGCCACACCATCATCACCTCACCCTGATCATGCCATCTCCGTCGCAATCGAAGCTTCACACATAGGTGGAGCTCTAGATCCGTCGTCTCCAAGGTCAGGAGCTCTAGATCCGTCATCTCCAAGGTCACCTCCATCATCGCAACCACGTCATCGTCACCTCACCGCCTGAATCGAAGCCTCTACGCCAGGTCATGTCTGGTGGTGGAGGTCGGAGCTCTCGAGCAGAAGATCGGAGATGGAGGGGAATTAGTTCGGCTATGGAGGATGGAAGGGTGGTAGGGCGTAGGTGAATGTGAAGTGGAAGAAAAAGAAGCACTGATTGAAGATCAACGGGAAGAATGAGACGTTAGAATAGGAATGTAGATCTAGTCACTTTTTAGTCCACGTATAAAAATGATCATATTTTTGTATTTCACGGAGTTATTCTCCATAGGTAATACTATCATCCGTATCACATTAATTGCAACATTGGAATATACTACGTATACACTATTCATGTACTTTACTTTTACTATATTTTATTTATTAATGTATGTGATTTTTTTTGAAAAAATATTGTTAAAATTCCTCTCATTACTAAGTTTTATAATCTGATTTTTATTTTATTTTTACTAATACAAAATTAAATATAATGACGGTCAAAATTGTGCATTGTCAAACGTGAAATGATGACTATTGCAACTAAAAAGAGACGGAGGAAGTACTTCGTATATGTGTCCTTATTCCTTTAAACAATTTACCCATATTTTTATCAATTTGGGTCGATATAAGCATTTGAACCCATTTCATCAGTGTAAGCTTTTATTTTTGTTTTTGTTTGACAAATGTTTAATTCTGGTTTTCGGATGGATTCATCAATTATCATCTGACAGTCGTACTTGCCAACTAGGAAATGATCATTGAACAAATTTAAAAAATTTATATTTAAGAGAATGCGCTGTAAAGGGAATATGCGACTGTTGTTTGTATTTCGTACTCCAATTAAACGCGCGCAATGCATGGCTGTTTTTCGCTGTGAGCGCGTGAGAACAGCAAACATCTCACGGTGCTAACGTGCGCGATTACAGGTATCAGCGCACGTTAAAATAGAGTTAAAAACAAACCAGGAGATGGAGGAGTGGGGGAAAGTGCGCACCATAGTCATCGTCGCCACACGAGGAACAGATCACGCTCTGTGTCTCCTTTCCGGTAAATCCACATCTCTCTCTCTGCAAACTGAGAATTAGACAGTTTTCTCTCTCTGTATCTATACGTGTAAGTCGTCGTTGCTAACCTGATGCTTTTCTGTGTATTTATTTAGAGGCGTCCGTTTGGTAGGCATTTGGTTATCTACAGAGGATTTCAGACTTTTGTTGTTGAGATTTGTAATCGATCGGTTTCTCAATGGCCGCACCTACCGGGAGAGCGAGAGCGGACTACGATTACCTCATAAAGCTCCTCCTCATCGGCGACAGCGGTTAGTTTCATTTCCTATCTGTTTGTTCCAATGCGATGAAATATGTTCCTCTTTTTGTTTGGTTTAGCTTAGAAAATAGGTGGGGCGTGTGTAACGATCCAGTTGACTAGCAATGCAATATTGCAATCGTTGAGATCTCAACTTTAGGTTGAGATCGTTATTCTACTTTCTGAATGCTTTGCCGTGCCTATCATTGACTGTGATTCAATACCGGTTGTCTATTACATTTAGTCACACGAGTATCTTTTTGGTGAATTGGGCTAGGCTAGATTCCCAGACATAAAATTCCATCCTAAAGTTTCTGACAGGAGTTGCCCGACTTAATACTAAGCCTTCCATTTTAATTTCTTTGTGCTTTAGAGAACCACATGATGCCATTAATGTGCTTCCTTGGCGATTTACCCAAGCTTCATGCCACATAACAATATACATACTACGTACATCTTAGACACTCTGTACCCTTCCATTAGTCAGGGGACTGAGGGACGAGGAATGATGGATAATGTTTTACAAGCTTCTTTATAGAGACTACACGTATGCTTCTCCTTAACTATTTTGTCTATGACTTTAGGCGGAAGCCGTAGATCCACAACTACCTATGCATTCCCCTTTCTTATGTACTTGCTTTATTGAACATGCTCATCATTTTATCCTACACTGACCCTGAGTGAGCAATTTCTAAGCAGTAGTAATTAATAAGGTAAGATGGGAAAGTAATCACTTTCATGGAATTCAAAAGGTGGAAAACGTTTTTGACCGTTTTGTGCCCACTTTGAGGGACGAAAGTTAATTTGCGATATGGAATTGCTTTCTTAGAGGGAAATTGAATCTGCATGGGAAAGGGGCGGGATCGATGGTGAAATTTGATTCCCATGTAGTACTTTCGTTTGGAAGGCAATAAGAAAAACACGTAACGGCGTAACGCCCCCTCAATGTAAAAAGATAAGGTTACTCTCCTGTACTGTCATACTATATTTCTTTTGTTTTTTTTTATTCTTTGCAATTTTGGTTATGTTTGAAACATTAACTCATTCCTAATTTTTTTAGATAGATGTGAATTAGCCACTTCTAAATATAAGGTGTGACTTCTTTCGTGGCACATGTGGTCTAAATGACCCAATCTTCCCGGACATTGCACATTCAAGAGCTGAGGAGCTCTTGTATCAGGCTGCTCTCTTTGTCTGAATAATGCTTATCGAGAAACTTTCTCAAGTCACTTAGCTAGTTTATTTTACTGTTAGGCATAGATCTTGAGGCATACACAACATGAAGTCTACGTGGTTTTGCCTCCTAATATACTGCAAAGCAGTCCGTCTTGTCATGCAAAAGCTTTTCTTTCTTTCTTTTACGTAGTTTGACAAAGCAAAAAGTGCTTTTAATTAATAATATTTAGGATGTTTTTTAGGTATGTTCATAAAAACAGAGGTTAGCCAACGAAGAAGTCAAAAACTAGATTTAGATATTTGTTCTCGAGGCAACTGCTTTCTTTTGCTCTCAACGTGGCAGCTTTCTTCTCTGTGGTTCTAATTGACAAGTTTTGTTTTCTTTACCCCATAGTTCCCTTCACTACAATTAAGAACAATGACTACTCTACTTGACAAAAGCTTTGAGAAGTTGCAACCAATTATGAAGTACTACTACTATTTTGCTTGACTCCTTGTCTTCCTCTTCTGTGCTGAAGAATTGACTTTAATATCTGATACATTGATTATTTTAATCAACTATCAACACATGCTTATCATTCAATAATAGTTGTTATTATGAGTTACTAAATACTGTTTGGTTTGTTTTTGCATGACTTTTGCCTACCTTAATAAATGATAACAATATTTATTAGCAATATGTACTTTACACATTAAGTTTATGTCATGATTCCCTCGAAGATTACGCCTCATGAGGCTAAGCAAAGCACATTGACATATGTTTTAGCCTTTATAAACATTATATGTGCCTGTGTTTGCTGCAAGCTGCAAGATGCATTTTATTCTAGAGTTTTGTAACACATTAACTTGACATGAACTATGCAGGTGTGGGCAAGAGTTGCCTACTCTTGCGTTTCTCTGATGGTTCCTTCACCACAAGTTTTATCACTACCATAGGGTGAGTTTTTCTTTGGAGGAAATAGTTGGTGCATGTTTATCATATACTACGTAATATAGAAATGCTATTGATTATAAGTATATGTATTATGTTTAATTTTTATAATGCAAGGATTGACTTTAAAATAAGAACCATTGAGCTCGATGGAAAGCGCATCAAACTTCAAATATGGGATACTGCTGGTCAAGAACGGTTCAGAACTATCACTACCGGTATATTTCAAAATGGATAAACATGAACTAGTGGAATAAGCTTTTGCTGAATCTGGAAATTTATAGAATTACTTTTGGATCTTAATCCATTGGACAGGTGACCACTATTTTCTACTTATGATTAGAAACATGGATAATAACAGTGATTGGGAAATCGAAATTTCAATTTTATCATTTCAGTTTACCCATGTATGGAATATTGGGATCAGTCTTCAAAATAAACATATCATATACAGATATACTCCATTCTCTCAAAAAGGTTCATGGTTCAAACAGATTTTTCTCCCCCCAAAAAGTTAGGTTTTAATGTCAACTTTCATATTTAAGTACATTCCTATAACCGCTAGTCCGCTAGTAATATAATGTTTTTAAAAACTTAGCCATTGACTGTTCAAGAAAAGCTGTGAGTAGCTGAGTTAAAACAATAAGTTAAAAATGTAAAGATATACGTGACCATTCATAATATAAAAGCCCGTGCTTTAGCTGAGTTGACTAAAAAGAAATATTGCACTTTATTCTATTATGACCCTACTAGCCAGGCCATCCTTTTCTTACTTTTGTCATTCCCTTAAAGTGCACCCTAATTTCTGTTTTATGTTTGTGCTAATGTTTCCTTCCAGCATACTACCGTGGTGCCATGGGTATTTTGCTGGTTTATGATGTTACAGATGAATCGTCTTTTAACAGTAAGTTTTTTTTCCCTAATTTTGTTATACCGCTCGCGTGGCAGACTTTGTGTATGCTATGATCTGCTCTTACCACTTACCATTTGCATCTCTCTCGCTCTTTTTCCTATCGGATTTTGATTTATTTTCAGATATTAGGAACTGGATCCGAAATATTGAGCAACATGCCTCCGACAACGTAAACAAAATACTTGTAGGAAACAAAGCTGACATGGATGAAAGCAAAAGGGTATATACTTTTTAATACATAAAGTTCCTTTTGGGTTTGTTACTTTTTCTTCTGCTTTGACACCCATGTTCTGTATGGATCAAGGAAGCAAAGATAAGAAGAATAAAATCTGTAAGAATTGTGAGGAAAGATTATGATGCAGACGATTTTGGAAAGAACATTTGGTGCTACACTTTGTCACAATGGTTTTTTGCATCAATTTATATTTTTCAATTATGTTAAGAAAATAGTTGACAAAGTAAACTTCTTGAAACCAACCCCACCATACTTGGGTTAAGGTACATAATATGATGATACGCTCTGTAAAAGAAACCGAGAGAAGGAAAAACCGAAAATCCCTTTTCCTATTTCTTCAGTATGACAATTTTAGTAAGGTTATTTGGATTAGATGGTTGAATTTGCAGATTTTATTTCAAAGTAAGTGTTCATTAAAATCCATTCAAGCCAAATAAGTGAGTCAAAGGTCACTTGTTCTGATTTGTCTGCTCATAACCAGAATAAGCCGATTTATGTCCCCAGACATGGCCTCAGCATGTTTCTTACACCTCACCATACATTGCTGAATCTAATTCTATTTTATACTCTGTATAGGCTGTCCCTACAGCTAAAGGCCAAGCACTTGCCGATGAGTATGGTATTAAGTTTTTCGAAACTGTAAGTATATATCCAAAGCACTAATAAGAACTTTTGTTTTTACTTTGTGTTTTTTTCTTAGAGGTATTTTTACTTTTCCTGTAGAGTGCTAAAACAAATCTTAATGTCGAACAAGTTTTCACTTCAATAGCAATGGACATAAAGCAAAGGCTTTCAGACACAGACTCAAAGGCGGAGGTAAATAAGCTAATCCCATTTGTGCGAGGGTGCTGTTATGTTCTAAAGTTGTTTCCGTGCATAATAAGAATTTATTTGGCTTCAGTATGTTTTTTTATTCTGCAAATGCAACATTTTTTGGATACCAAATCAAGTATATGGATGATTTGCAGCCTTCCACAATCAAGATCAACCAATCTGAATCAGGATCTACCTCTGGCCAACCTGCACAACAATCTGCTTGCTGTGGTTCATAAGACGGCCAAGTTGAATGAGAAGTATCACCTGTTTTAACCGTGATTATATATACTCATTGCCATAAGAACAATGAATCATCTGGAGAAGGACTAGCTCTGATGACTAATATATTGGGAGCTTTGTATTTTCTTTATATTAGTTTGTTGATTAGAATCTTGTGTGGAAGATAGACCTTTTGCTTATTTGAGACTCATTTCTGTTGTGCATGTCCACACGGATAAATGATTATGCACAATTGATTGATAGGGCACAGTTTGTATTCTTAAAATTCAACCATGTTTAAGTGTTACTTGGCCACTACAGTTTAACAAGAAATTTCCCTTACATAATCATATATAGGCCACTGACATGGCCTTTAACTCTTTAAGGGGCGTTTGGATCACTTGTAGTATTTCCTAAAAAAATTATAATCGTTTTTTGAAAGGTAATTTGAGATTATAAGAGCTTAAATAACCTTGGTTGTTTGGTTTACCCAACACGATGCTACCTATTTGGTTAAAGATGTAGTCAGAATAGTAATGTTATTTGTCTTTCTTTTTACGTGAACATAGCTTTTAATAACATTGTTAATATGGAGTAATAATGTTAACGGAAACATGAGTTATATCATCGTGTATTCGTGTACCTCTCTCTGATTTAACATTAAACTGTATATCTGCCAAATAAGCATTACATCCATGTCATAATCTTACATAATCTGAATTTATTTATTCAAGTATCTCTTTAAATAACCCGCTCCAAGTTTAAATTTAATAGCGAGGAATCGAGGATACACCTTGCGATACACCTTGCAGATTTTCTTATGCCACACTTCATCTCGTTTTACCACGCATATATCATTTGGGATACACATCTTCACCACACTAATATTCTTAATAAAATCTTTAATCCTGCTCATGACCTAAAAAAACGCCCAAAATAATAGGACCATCTCCCCTTTTTATACAGTTTTTATGAAGCCTAAAATTAAGAAAATGTGAGATAGAAAACAGAGAAACAAAAAATAAAAAGCTTAGCAGGCAGACTGAAAAGGACAAATAGAAGAGGGAATGCACTATGGATCTGGGGATGGAGACAACCCAGTTTGGTTCTTCCGGCAGCTCCATATCTAAATATCTAATTCTAGGCGGCTTTGATATTTTTAGAATCCCGGCCCTTTCTATATATTTACTTAGAATCCCTACTTCTCCACCCTTATATGACTGTTATAGGTACTTGGGACCAATTCTTGTACTGGAAATAAAAAACAAAAAGAAACATAATTTGAATTAGAACCCATTAAACAGTAACCTTATAAACATCTGGTTCAGTTTTGATTACACCATTTCCAGTTCAATTCCAAAACTGCCAGTTCCAGTTTGAACCAGAACCATGTTCACCCCCCTATCAGCACTTTTGCATGTACTTGTATATACAAAATGAGATGACAAGTCCATCAAGATGTGTCTTCTAAATTCAAAATTGCCACAAAAAATGGAAATGTGTTCTGTACACAATAGAAACATCTGACCTTACAAGCAACACTGACCCCCTCCCTCCCCAAAAGTACCACTTACAAATTCAGTTCTTCCTTTCCATAGATCCGCCGAAGTTCACGAGTAGCAGCTTGGTATGATTCTGAAATGAAGAATAAAAAGTATTCATTGAGTTTAAGTGGCATCCTGGTTATGAAAGCTTAAAACCTGTTTGGGACAGCATATGAGGAGTAAGTGCTTTCTCACTGAAGCAATTAAACTGCTACTTAAATAAGAATTAAAAGCACTTTTTTTATTTTTAAAAATATTTCGTTTCCAATTTCATTTCAAACGCTTCTATCTGGAGTACAAGTGCACTTCTTCCTTGAAAAAAAGTCCTGCCAACTTCACTCTAAATGTGCATGTGTGTTTGGGGATAGGAATGTGGCATTAAGTGTTAACCTTTCCATATTTTGAAAGCTTTTTGGTTGATAGGGGAGCCAGTAACAGACTGAACAGCAACAAACAGCTCACTCTCTCTTGTGCTTCTTAGCTCCTGGACAATCTGATAAATGGTCTTACCATTCTCAAAGTATATGTGATTATTTGGGTGCTTTGTTTTGCAACCAGCATGACGTTCAAACTCATAAGCATTCAGTGCCTTTCAAAGAACGAAGATGGTGAAGATCGCAATGAAGTTCGAAAAGAAAGAGAACATTACAACTGGACAATGAAAAGCTTTTACCTTAGAATAGTTACATGTTTGGCAGCCACATAGATATCCAGAACCTTTTATAACCCCAGGCAGCTCCTTAATCACATTGACAGAAGGTTCCCAATAAGTAAAAGACCAATAAAGGTGACAGAATATAAATTGTATTACCAAGGACCCTTGAGGTTTCTGAAAATTTCATTGCCCATGCAGATTTTATGCAATCAACCCCTTTAACACTAAAAGGTTATAGAATATAATGACATTAACAAGAAAAGTGGATCTTAAGATTGAATTCATCCAATTTGTTCTTTTAAATGCCATTTTATAGGCTAAACTCTTCACATATCTCTCTAAAGAAAAATCTCCAAGGAAAACTTTGAGGGAATTTGCTACGAAAAACGTGATTCCTACTGATATAATCAAGTCCTATATCTTTCAACATTATTTGTGAAAAATCTGACTGATCAAGGATCTTATTTATAATTTAAATTTTTAAAAACCATGAAGGCCTAAGGCAATGAGAATTTGACCAAACCTCGGGGGAGGTAAATGTAATTTACCCATTAATTATGGTACCTCTCTAGAAACAGAAACATATTTCACAGGCACCCCATCAAGCATCCCTGTTGACATCAAACTTCTAACATTTGATGGAAAGCTGTTTGGGGCTTCTTTCTTAGCAGGTTTTCCATCTGACTTTGTCTTCGGAATGGATTTAGTAACTTGAGCCTGGCAAACAATTGTTGTGTTCAAATTTGATCTATCTAAATCCTTGTCGACTTCAGCTTGGGTTGTTTGAACCGTGGATTGATTATAAAAATATTCATAGCTGCTAATTGGTCTTCCTAGGGCATCGATATCAGCATCCTCTTGATATCCACTGAATAGAGAGTTGTTATTACAGTCTTCTCCTTGCTTACCATAACCTTGCCTCACTGATATGTAAGCTTCTTCAGATCTCTCATTGTATACCTCCTGATGATTCATGGGAAAACCGATATTTTGTTCCTTAACCTGATTAACTTTTACTTTTCCAACTCCACCGTAATTAATGCATGACTCAGGTTCTTCGATATTGTAAGACATTGACAAACCAACAAACGTATCATTCCCAAGCTCTTCACCGATCACCTTTTCCCTCAAGTTTCTTTCACCTAAACTTACTGACCCCACCATTTGTTCTGATCCGAAAAGCCGACCTACGAATTGGTTTGGGACGGGCTGAAAAGTGGACAAGTTATCCCAAGATAGAAAACTTGAATTTGACTTGCTGACTGAGGAAGCTTCAATGGCTTGTTTTTTGTTAGAAATTAGTTCTTGTTCAGTTGTTTCTGCTAACCACTGGTGGGTCCGCTTTGGTCCAAGTGTGGATGATCCATCAAAGACTGTCTCATCATCTGACGCATGCCCAATCCCTTTTGGGATCCAAAATTCTTTCCCATGAAAAGACTATAGACATTATAAATACAAGTACCCCAGTCGGTAATTTTAACTTATGAAAGTTCAGACTAACATGAAATATATTGCATTCAGAAATTTGAAACTTCACAGAAAAGGAACACTGGTTAAAATGATACTTATTACATTATCCTAAAAAGGGTGTCCGTCCGTACATTTTTTTGTCCCCGACAAATTTCACTTTGATCAAACAAAGATAATATTTATAAAATCCAGCCATATATTGCATAAAACACTCACAAACAATTTACATACAATAAATTTAGTTAATCCAACAAATAAATTTTAAAAACTTAAGTATCATTCATGATTTATGACAGTTGTACCTTAGAAAAATAAAAAAGTTGTAGATTTGTCAAACATGACTCTCTTTGGGGTACAGAAATACGGAGTATATGAATAACAGAAATAGACTTTTTATGGGTCTTCACTCTTCAGCCACAACACCCAACACTGCACCATGAAAGTAGAAACAATGGCACTTTGAATAATCAACGTTCCCCTTTATCTATCACTAAAAGTTAATGACGTTTCTGATTCCCAACACTATAGCCTTCTATATGCATCAGTGCTTCAGTAAACTTTTTATAAGACATTTCTGAGTTACCACTTAAAGTTTACAGAAGTAAAAGTTAATGGCACTTTGATTGCCATGGTTACCACTTAAAGTTCACATGGCAATCAAAAACATCCACATTCCCACCACTAGTTCGTGAGTTAGAGGTTTAGAAGAGCATAGAATAAGGAATAACAGAAGTAAAAAAAGAATCACTACCATAGAAAGCCAAACGATTATAAAAAAGAAGAATTCATGTAGAAATAGTTTGATCAAAGTAACAAGAGATGTGATCAACAATTGTCCAATAAGATAATCAAAGTACGAGGACACACAAAGTTTGTCCAGCTTTATTCACAGTCCAAGGCTTGCTCTAAATATTACCTCACACTCACACTATTACACATTACATGCATAACCAAACTAATACTTGAAGAAAATTCCAGCAAACAAGCGCATTTCCAGTTTCCCGGAAAGGGCAATAGATTAATACATGTTTAGAATTAAAAATTGAAGTTTTGAACATAACTACATAAATATAAACAAGCAACAGCTTACCATTTTGCCGCTTCCAACAGTTCCACTCCAATCGATCAGTTCAATAACCTCTATGCACAACCAGAACACTCCTGTTTTCCGGTCCCATTTAAAAAAGGTGCACAAAAATTGAATATCCCAATGAGCACGAACTATTTTACATTTCACAAACAACAAAAAAAGATCTTTACAGTTTAGACTGAAAAACTCAAGAGCCCTAACCTTAAAATTGAAGGAAAAAGAGATCACGCGTTTGAATCTGTTGCAGCGGATGCGTGAAACAAACGGATGAACTTGCCGGCGAAAAAAGGCGGGCAACTGCTGCAGTTGTAATTACAGAGAGAGTGACCGTTTTGTGGTGGAGAAGAAATTTGTTACGGTGGCTGAAGAGCACAGGATCTTTGCTCGCAAATGAACTGTACAGTTTTAAAGGCTAAAATAAAATTCTTCAATGGATTATTACTGTTACGACTATCGTTGACGTACACGTGTCTGATTACTAGTTTATCTCTGCCGTTTATTTTCCTTAGCCCCAGCTCTTTCAGTTTTCCACTTTTCGCGTAGACCTGTACGAACACGGGTTTGGGCCGGGTTCAGGCCGAACTTTATCTAATACTTCTGCCTAGGGGTGGGCATGGTCGGTTAACCGGGTTTTGGTTAACCAACTTTCGGTTAACCGAGAAATCGGTTATTATTTTTTAACCGAGTATCGGTTAACCATCACTCCGGTTAACCGAGTATCGGTTAACCGTAACTTCGGTTAACCGCTTTGCGGTTAACCAAAAATCATAAAACCACAAAATATTAACAGTAAAATCAAATATGAATAGAAACTTCCCAAAAAATGCAGGAATTAAAATAATACACCACGTATATAATTATAATACTGCAAACTTAACAAGATGCTATAATACAAACTCCAACAAACAATAATTATAATACTACAAACTATAATAATGACGTATCTAAAATCTAAAATACTGCCATTTCTCTAAAACTTTATCCATATTTAGGTATCAATCACATTTATCTAAACTCTATAGTTTATTCATAGTCAAGTCAATGTCTATTCTACTATAAATATAATTCAATAAGTTGACAGAGTCACATATATTACAAACTCCATCAAATATAAACTTCGTTATATTTGTGTACGACTTAAGCTAGATTAATAAGATTAATATTGAACTTTCTATTTAATATTCCGGTATCAAAGTTATTTGAGAATTGATGAAGTTCTAATCTTATTAATTATTACTGAATAAAAAGTAGGCGAGTTGTTTCATATGTATCTAGGATTCCAGGTAGTGTTTTTTGAAATATACGACCAACGACCTTAAATTAGCTTACTGGTTACATACGAAGAATGTATTATTTGAAATACCGGTTAGCGGTTAACCGACCATATCTTATTTTCAAAACCATAACCGTACCGTGTACCATTTTTTCTTGCGGTTGGTTAACCGTACCATGATTTAATTAAAATCGGTACGGTTAACCGAAAAAAATAACGGTTTTCCGGTTTTTCGGTATGGTTAAACGGTTACAGGCTTTTGTGCCCACCCCTACTTCTGCCCATTTATGTGGGCGGGCTCGGCCCGGCCCGGATCAAATTGGCCACCTCCCATAGTAGTGGACTGGATAGTCCACCGGGCCGCCTGGTCCGGAAAAGTTTAACGTTGTTTAAATTTGATGAAAAAGTTGATAGCATTTTTAAAATAACATCACACCATTTTAAAATTAATTAATGAACAAACTAATATAAATATGCCTTCATGATATACACAAACTATTTTGTACAATTGATCTGCTTAGTACTCTAATATGTTTTTTGTTTGGCCGCTCAACTGCTACTTTGCCGATCAAATGTGAGTAAAGTTAATTAAATCTTCTTTAGGGCCATTAATATGATGGGTAATAGCATGTAGAGTTCACTAATGAGAAATAAGGAGTAAGTAATACTTGTACGAAGTACTCCGTAACTAATAGGGTTTATTGTATACGTACGAGTTAATACTAGCAATATGTACTACATATATTATTAATTTTCCGGGCCGGGCTTTTTGGCCCGAACGGGTCTACAATATAATCCAAGCCCGCCCATATTTTTCATGGGCCGAGCTCGGGCTGACCCGGTGGGTAATTATACATGTCCAAACCCGCTCATTTATATGAGCAGGCTGGCGGTTCGGCTCGGCCGGCCCGTGTGTGTACATGTCTATTCCCCCCATGAAGGGCAGCGTTTGAGAAATGGGAACTGAAAGTTGAGATAAATTAATTAATAGGTCCAATTCAAATGAATTATATATTTTAGTTTTCTTATATTCTTATGGTATTGTTATCTTATATTTATTTATTTTTATTTATTCATTTTATGTTTTTTTTTTCTTTTTTATCTCCTTTCTTTTCTTTTCTTTTCTTTTATTTCTCTCTTTTTTCTCTTCTTGTCTGTCTTCTCTATTTGACATCGATATCGTCATGGGCGGAGATAGGGGGTGAACAACCTAGGCCTTGGCCCACCCCAAATTTAAAAAATGCCTTAATTTTTAGTGTAAAAAATTCTGTTTAAATTTTTTTCCAAAAATATTTTTGTACCGGCCCAGTTCGACCCAGTGCCCTGGCTCCACCCCTGAATATCGTAGATCGATTCATGTTAGCCGACTCCAAATTCTTTTGAGATTAAAGCTTGGTTGTTGTCGTTGTTGTTTCCCGGTTCAAATGAAACTTATTTCCAAAGGTATGGTTAATAATAATTATTATATAATTTATTAAATAGGTTCAGCTCAAATGCAACTTATTTCTAAATTATGGTTAATAAATATTGTCATCGAAACTGATATATGTCATCGACCACTAAGTTACTACTATGATCACTACTACACTTAGTCTGTCACATGTTTGCAAATAACATTTTTAGTTATACATGTAATTATTTCGAAAGATATAAAGTATAAACTATTGTATTTAAATACTCCTCTCTATTATAGAGAATAAAATTTGACCACCTTTAATTTGCACATATAATAAGAAAGTAAATATTGTGTTGTTAAGATTATGCATAACACGAAAAATCAGTTTTGCTAACATATTTATTTTTCTTAAATGAAAAATGACAGTCTTTTGGAATGATTAGATAAGGACAGTTGAAAAAGTTTTATAAGATGAAGAAGTATATTCAGATTGAAGAGAAACTTCAACCTTACTTATTTTATCTATTGTATATCTTCAATTTTAAAGTGCCATCTCAATGACTACCAAACACTCTTACTATGTTTTGAACTATAGCTATATCACTTTTTTTTTTTAAATTTGCATACCTAATTGTGTGATAATAAAATAACTAATTGTAGTTATTTTCTGGGATGGAATAACTAAAGTGGCCGAAGACAATTTACCTTTCTTCCATATAATTGTTTCTTATTTTTATTTGTCATGTATATTTTGAATGCATTTTTTTAAATTTCAATGAATTCAATCAATTTATTTATTCAAATCATAATTTTAATAATTTCAATAAAATCAGCCGATTTTATAATTACTAACTACCTCTAATCTCACTATTGAGTGTCCAAACTACTACTCTTGTGTCAAAATGATTTGCAAAGCCAATTTTTCTTGATCGATACAGTTTCACTTTATCGATCTACTTATTTAACGTACTCTGCATAATTTTTTTATTATATTATATTCTAATTTAATTTTGTGGCTTTATAGAACTTTGAATGTAACTTTCGAATATGTAAATTTTAATTATTAAACTTGATTTAAATGTTCACAAGGATGATTTAACTTTATCGCCGACCAACCTTAAAATACGCAAATGAAATTTCAGTTCAGGACAGAGGAAATACTATACAACAAGAGAGCGAGTTGGAAGTATAAATCCAATGATGATTGATCTATTTGAAAAGTAGAAGTTAATAAAATCTATTTGAGAGCATGTTCTTTGGGTTAAAATCCTAAAATACAAATATCCTATACTAAAAACATTAATGATTACTTTGAGAGAAATAGTCTTAAAATCATTTGAGATTATGCATTTATGCAACTAGATCATTGAATCATACAACCTACAAATATCACTCAACTGAAAAAACAATCGAACTCTTTTTTACTTGGTGATGCTAAGAGACATCAACTTTCGGTTCTTCTCTAGTTAATGTTACTGTCATTAATGGATAAAAAAGACTCCATTGTTTCTTTTTATTGTGTTGATTGTTGGACTTTTGATATTACATGGTTCATTTGCATAATCGCCAATAGTTAGTGTGAACCATTTTTTCTTAGTTTTATTAGGCCAACTCCACTTATATAACTCTATAAAAGTTTTATAAAGAATTGATGTAAAATGCTTAGAGAGGAGTAATGCAAGCGGCCTTCATTTTTCTTCAAAGTTAAGATCACCTTAGAATAAGATACAGATTAAAAAGAAACTAAGCATATTGTAGGATGTGCAGGTACTTTTGTTACATGGATCTAAAATGTAAACTACAAAAGTGCTATATATACAAGAAACTGACCTAAAAGGGTTACAATTTTTTTTATGGTAAAAGAGCTACATTTATAGAAACTACAAACATATATAAGCATAATATTCAATATTTTGCCAGTGTCAATCTTCTAACTATTTTGTGACATTATAGGAATTCTGAATTCATATTAGCCACCGTGAGCACTTTTCAATCTCGTGTGTTTTTTGTGTAAAGCCAAGCATCTAAAAAACAACGTTTCGATATGGTGTCCCCACAATTAAAACAGAGATATTTTTGATGAATTAAAACAGCATATGAAAAACAAAACAAATGAAGAAAAGGTACATCAATAGTCCACCGGGGAAAGATGACCACTCTCGACCGTTGATGAGTGAGTTTATTGGGTTGATGTCTCAGACTCAATCCCGTTCAGGTAACTCAACGGTTGCTGAGTGAGTCTGTTGGGTTGAAGTCTAAGTTTCAATCTCTGCACGGGTAACTCAACGGTTGCTGAGTGAGTCTGTTGGGTTGAGGTCTCAAGTTCAATCTCTGCACGCATAACTCAACGGTTGTCGAGTGAGCCAGTTGGGTTGCAGTCTCAAGTTCAATCTCTGCACGGGTAACTCAACGGTAGCTGAGTGAGCCTGTTAGGTTAATGTCCCGGGTTCAAAACTCAGCAACAACAATGCAAGAACCTCATCAACGCATGATCCACCGCACTCAGAATCTGTATACGATAATACCTTAGATTTAGCCTCCCAACTCCCAAGATTATATCGGGTCGGGTGTAGGGCGTACTATTTAAAGGTTCAAGCCAGTATTTTTTGCAACTTTAAAAAGGGCAAAACTGTCCACAACCTTAATACACAACAAATTAGTTAATTGGTAACATTCGATTTTTTTTCCCAACTTTCTCTCCCAAATAGATGAAACAGAGGTGTGAACTCCTATCCCGGAACACTTCCATTGGCCATTGCTAAAGCTCTCAACACTCCATCGAAACACAAGACTATACTAATCATGAAAGATTTGATTTTTAACTCTTTTAGCAAAAAGTTCCCCTTCTTCAAAGAGTTTCATCTTTCTGAACATCTTTTTGAAATTCAACTTGAAGCAGGGGATTCGAATTTCCAAACCATCTTCTTGTCTATACTTACATTGAGCAAAAGAAAAAAGTTAGAGTACGAATAGATAGATTAGCTACAAACAAATCTAAGAAAGAATAAGGCTTGAGGACTACTCTGTATTTATAAAATCTACTCTAGGAAACCTAATAATCTAAGAAGTTAGAACCATTTAGGGTGGCGGCGGCGCCGGCACTGCTGCGTCTGAGGCTCTGGCCAGCATATGCTCATTCTGGAGTGGAGTCAGATTCAAATCCCAAGGACCCACCACCGCTTCCGACGGAGACGCCTCCTCCTCCTCCTCCTCCTCCTGCTTCTTCACCACAACCGCCGCCGCCACCGATGACTCTCCGTCGCCATTACATCCAGCAGCGGCGAGGACTAACTGCTGCTGCTTGGCGCGGTGTTTGCTCATATGTCCGCCCAAAGATTGACCTTTATCGAATTCCAACCCGCAAATAGAGCACTTGTGCAATTTCTTGGAGCGACTTTCCTCGCCGGCGGCGGAAACCCTAGGTTTTTTGTGGCTGGCCCTGTGGCCACCGAGCGCCTGGAAGGTATGGAACTGTCTCCGGCAAGTCTTGCACTCGAATCCGCGGCCACCGGAAAGTAGCGGAATCCGATCGTCGTCCATACGAGAAAGAAGCACCAGGCAGTTCTCCATCGCCATGCCCTCCACCGTCTTCCCGTCCGCCGCCGCCTTACCTTCTCTCCAGGAGCTGCTGCCGGCGGCGGTGTCTTTCTTTAGCTCCACCATTAATTATTGTTATAATTTAAATAAATAACAATTACGGAGTACAATAAATACAATAAATAAATACTCCTAATTAGGAGCTAGTCAGCAGTGATTTAGAAGGGTACTGGGTGATCTGATCTATATATGGGCACTCTTAAATTTGGATCGGAAATTATATAGAGTATGTTACTAGTACATAAAATTTATTTAAGGAGGGAATTGGAGTTAGATTGGTAATATACTTACTTGACTATAATTAAAAGTTTGAGCGATAATGGGAGTGTTTGGGTGCGTATAAATATGCTATATACGCTATTCTCCTTGCGAACGAAGGAATCAAACGGACGCGTTTTTGGCAATATCAACCGCCTATTTTAGTACAGTTCATAACCTTCTCCTCTTTTGACACCTGTCATACTCCTTTCATCCAAAAAAATACTTCCCATTTTCCTTTTTGGATCGTTCAAAAAAATATTCATCATTTCACCTTTTTGGAAAGTTTCGTGTGACTTACATTTATTTACCTTTTTCTTACTCAACTACAATCATACATTTCCACTTTATTCTTAGTTTCTTAATAAGCGTGCCAATTCAAATCATAAAGTATTTTTTGGGAGGGAGGTAATATATACTCTTTCTCATACTTTCTAGTGTCTACTAGTTTGAGAAATACAATACAATACTAAAGAAAAAGTTCCAGAAATAAGAGTTAATATTTTAAAATTTCAAAATAGATCTGCCATATTTTTATTATCTAAGTATGAGTAATTACTGCATTTTTGGAAAATATTGTCAACTTAAAAGTCAGATACTACTAAAACATGACAACAATTACTCATATTTATGATAACGTTTGAAATCCTATTAAGAGTAATTTCCTACTTTGTACGGAGTAATATAATAACGTTTGAAATCCTATTAAGGGTTACTAAAATCGTTGCTTCAACTAAATGCCCATTTGGTGACCTTATTTTTCGGCTTATCAACTTATCAGTCAACTTTTGATTTTCGCGTTGTATTGTAAAATTAATAATAAGAAAAGTAAGGGTTTGACTATAATGGCTAAAGTTGTTGTAGATGATTATTTTAACTATTTTTATTTCATATATATTTTTATTAATAAAATATATTTTTAAATATAACTTTTTCCATAAATCACCAGAATCATCCAATCTAGTTAATTCAGCCAGAATTTCACAAATTTCAACTGAATCAGCCAACGCAACCTATAAGTATTAACAAATGGGCTCTACATGTACTTGTGATTGAGCTCATTTTAAGATATAACCTTGTGTTTGATTTCTTAACAAAGCAGATGATGTGTTTCAATTCCGTTATCACAAGAGAGGTCCAACAACTAAGGATGTTTTTACTTGGATTGTAATTTGCTGGTCTGGTCTGGTCTGTTTTGATCTGGTCTGGTCTGAAATTTTATTTTTTTACATTTTTTGCATAAAGGTTTTATTTTTTATATATATTATAATTCATAAATAATTATATTTTATTCATTTATAATTAAAAATAATAATATTCCTTCCAAATTATCAAAAATTGTTGTTTTTTAATCGGATTGATTTCAATCCCAGAACGAAGCAGATCATACAAATACAGAACAATAATAAAATAGTACAAGTATTCATAACAACAACAACAATAACAATACTACTACTACTACTAATAGTAGTAGTAGTAACAATAATAGTAATAATAGTAATAGTAGTAATAGTACTAATAATAATAACAACAATAATAATAACAATAATAATAACAACAACAATAATAATAATAATCATAACAATAACAATAACCATAACAATAACAATATCAATCACAATAACAATAACAATAACAACAACAACAATAATAGTAGTAGTAGTAGTGACAATAATAGTAATAATAGTAATAGTACTACTACTACTAGTACTAATAATAATGATAATAATAACAATAACAATAATAACAATAATAACAACAACAACAACAACAATAATAATAATAATAATAACAACAATAACAACAACAACAACAACAATAACAATAACAACAACAATAATAATAATAAAATATGGTTTGGTTTGGTCTGGTCTGGTTTGGTCTGTTTTAGTCTAGTCTGGTCTGGTCTGATCTGTTTTGGTCTGATCTGGGATGAATTACAATCCAAGTAAAAACAACCTAACGTCGTTAGAAATTGTCGAAAGAAGGCGATGAACAATAAATTTGTTTTCCAAAAGTGCTCAGAAAATTTAAAAAAAATATATTGAAAGACGCGCCTCATCAAGGTGATATCCAGGTCATCTTTCTTTTTTTGTTTCCATCCACGTACCATTGTCATCGGAAAGTTCACTGAAAAAGTGATATTAACGAATTTGTTTTAAAAAATCCAAATAGATCCGAAAAACCCAAAGGGGAAAATAGTTTGGAGGTCTCATTGACGAGGCGCACCACCCAATAATTTTCTTTTATTCGTTCAGGCACTTTTGAAAACCAAAGTTACTGCCTATCATTTTCATCCGTGATTTCTAATGACATTAGGCGCTACCGCGCTAGACCCCCAATTAGGCATGGACTAGGCCCGGTCCATAGCGGGCTTTTTTTTTAAACTTGTACCCCGAAACCGGCCCGGGTTGATACTGGGTCCGGGCCAAACCGGGTCAGTCCGGGCTGGGCCGGTCCAATGTATATATATATATATATATTTTGCTTTCTAATTAACCCCCGACCCCCCCTCACCCCACCCCTCAAACCTGCCCAAAACACTCAGCCCTACCCTAGGAAAAGAAAAAAATTGAAAAAAATGAACCGGGCCTGGCTCGGACCGCCCAGGCCGGTTCAAGAAAAATAGGGCCCATGTCCGGCCCGCCAGGACCGCCCACACCGGGCTAAAGCTCGGAACCGGCCATCCCGTCCCGGTCCGGTCCGGGCCTGCACAGTAGCAGGCCGATCCGGTTCACGGGCCGGTTCGGCCCGGTTCGATCCACCCCTACCCCCAATTGGAGAACACATACATACTTTATTAAGAAATGAAGCACGTACCCCTGTATGAAAATTGGACTTACCACATGTACATTTTTCATATTTTCCCTATGATAAATCATAGAATATGAGACTATGAGACAAGTTCAAGTAAATTGTGTGAACTAATCATATATTTATGACTAAAATATGTATTATTTACAAAAATGTGATTAGTGACTATAATGGTAATTTAATAATAGTAATGTATATATGTTCACCTTTTAAGCGTGACTATGAATCTATGATACTATATATTGTAGTAACTATTAGTCATATTGGTCTAAATAAGTTTTATTTTAGTATTTTTTAAAAAAAAACCTAAAAATTTATAGGAGTAACAACTTTTGAAATTCTAAAGAGAAAAGGGTCAAATAAGGCCTTCTACTATTATAAAATAGTCTCATAAGACCATGTACTCAATAAAATGTCATATAAGTACCTCTACTTGTATAAAGCAATCAAATGAGTCCTAACGGCTTATTTAACACCTCCTAATCCCGATTTTAGCTTACATGTCAATTTTTTGACCTGTATTTCAACCAATCTTAGTTAAATATTCGACATATGCCGTATAATGTATTCTAAAAAGATGGTCAGAAGTACGTTGAAACCGGGATTAAGAGGTGTTAAATAGGCCATTAGAACTCATTTGATTGATTTTTACAAGAAGATGTACTTATATGACACTTTATTGAGTACATGGTCTTATGTGACTATTTCATAATAGTAGAAGGCCTTATTTGACCCTTTTCTCAATTCTAAAATAAAAGAACTTTTTTTTATTATTTAAATATGAGTTGTTACCGTCATGTTTCTAAAATAATGTCAATATTTATAGTTTAAAGCCATATTTAAAATCAAGTAATGTCTAATTATGATAGTAAATTTTCGTGGTGACAATAATGTACCAATTCCATTCTGCGAGAAATCATAGGTTGTTTTAAGTTGACTAGTTTTAGTCCCACATTCAACGAGATCAGATCAAACTAGATATAAATAGACTATACCAACCCGCACGGGTAGCTCAGTTGGTTCAGTGGTGGGAAATTTGGATCAAATGACCAAGGTTCGAAATCCGCAGCGACCGCGTGGAGGTCACAGAACCTGAAATAAGGCTGGACCTCTGTTGCGCACGGGAAAAAGACCTACCATCATTGGGCCGACTGAGTCACCGTGATTAACATCCTCCCAAAAATCCTGTCGGGTCGGGGTATGGGGGGCTCCTGGGGTGGGAGATTCCACCTTTTGGACCAAATAAATAGACTATACCAAATCACATCAGATCAGACTTCGACAATTGTAAAATACACATAGAACAAGCATTTACAAGATCATACCAATTCAAATTAGACCATACCAAATCTAAAAATTCAAATCAGACAAGACCAAAAAAATATAGTGTAATTAAAAACATCCATAGAACTTCTATTTTTGAATTGTACATCGTTTTTAGTCCTATTTCAGAATTTTCCCCAATTATGCTTTATTTGTTAATTTGATGAATTAAAACACTCAAAAGTGAAAGTTAAGGAAACCCCCAAAATAATACTCCCTCTGTCCCGGTTAAATCCTGATGTTTGCTTTTGGCACGATGTTTTAGGAGTCCAATAAATAGAAGAACAAATGTCTTGCATGTCCTTTGACTTTTGGAAGGGATTAATGTTATCCACTCAAATGTAAAAAGTTGGTGTATAGTGAAGACTAGTTAGGACATTTAATGTAAAAGGAGTTGCCTAAAAAGCAAATGTAAAGATTTAAATGAGACGTCCCAAAAAAGAAAATGTAAAGATTTAAATGGAACACAAGGAGTACATGAATTGTTTGTTCAATGTTTTAGTTTTTTTATTATCTATACAATGTAAGAATATGAGGTTGTGTAATTTTGTAACAGTAAAATAATACTTAATTTATAGGTGTATGTGTGTATATAAACAATATCAATGTATCATAGTTATGTATGACTGCACATTGTTGTAGTTTTTTATTTTTTGACTATATATGTTAATGACACTAAATTGATCTTTGTTGACGTCTTTTACGATGTATTTACTTGAACTGTAATTTGTTGGTCTGGTCTGGTCTGTTTAAGTATGGTCTGATCTGACTGGTCTAGTCTAATAAACGTTTGGTCTCTGTGTATTTTATAACTACGGAAGTCAAGTCTGATCTGGTCTGATCTGATCTGTTTAAGTCTGGTCTAATCTGGTCAGGTCTGTTTAAATCAATCTGGTCTGGTCTGTTTAAGTGTGATCTGATCTAGTCTAT